TTTAAGTAAAGGTTTAACTACTGCCAGCTTGAAGGCCTGTGGTACATAGCCGATTATTAGGGATAGCTTGATCATATTTAATATTGAAGCATTAATTAATGGCAGGACTTCTTTGAGCAGGCTTGGGGTCTAAAAGGACACATTGATGGTTTTGAGGAAGTAATTACTGAAGTTAACTCGGAAAGAACAATTAGAGAAAAAGGCTCTAAATGAATATCAATGGTACTGTACGGTAGCTGTAGATAATGTTACATCTGTGAGATGATTATGAGTAATTTTTTCTCTAATGGCTAAAATTTTATTTGTGAAGAAGTTCATGAAGTCATTACTAGTTAACGTTAAAGGAATGGTTGTCACAAACAAGGATGCGGTGGACTCAAAAGCAGACTCAATTACTCGAACTATGTATAATTTATTAGAAGGAACAAAAACGTGAACAGAACTGGGTTTAACAGAAACCATTCGCAGAAACTAAGGGAAATCCGTGGGCGGGGAAACAGGCGTAGAGCACAGGGAGAACTCGAACGGGAACTTTCTGTAAACACAGGAGAAGGGTGTTACTGAGTGACAAACGAGTAAGGGACAGAGGTATGGAGTGCCAGTGGATAGTCTTGGGCTTACTTGGAGACCCTGGTTATTAAGCGGGGGAAAAGGCTGCCATGGGAGCATTCCAGAGAGGATCGAGAGTGTGGAGAGTCCGGTCCAGATTCCAAGGAGGTGGAGAGTATGGACTGAAGGGCAGGCTGAGGAGAAGTTGTGTATGTGGTCCTTGGGTTCCGAGGAGACGGAAAAACAGGATGGAGACGGAACCAGCACTACTGGTGAGTGCGACGGGTGATGAATCACAGATGGTAGCAGGACGAACTGGCAAGGAGTGGCAGGCAGTGCTGGCTTAAAAACCCTCTAGGTGGAGCCCCGGAGATTGAAAACAGGTGATGAGCTGGCCAACTCCACCCCAAAGGACGGATGACAGGAACCGGGACCATGCCCGACCAGACACTCCCACAGCATATGACAATGGTTGGCTTAACAGTGCTCTGACTTTTTTTCAGCCTGGCTACAGTGCTGAAGAGAAACCTAAGGTTGTTCTTATTTTCTTCAATCAGTGATGACCAGATGTTCTAGCTTTACGGAGGGCTTTCTTATAAAGCAATAAACTATTTCTCCAGGCTAAATGATGATCTTGTAAATTTGTGACATGCCATTTCCTCTCCATCTTACAAGTTATCTGCTTTAGGCTATGTGTTTGAGAATTACACCAGGGAGTCAAGTATTTCTAATTTGAGACCATATTTTTCACAGGAGCAACAGTATCTATTGTCATACGTTGTGAGAAGGTAAAATTATTAACAAGATAATCAACCTCTATTTGAGCAGCGTTCAGGTAGCTGCTCTGCTCTGTGTTGGTACAGGTCATTGAAGATGATAACAGTGGGTGGATTATATTCTCAAACTTAGTTACAGCACTTTCAGAAAGACATCTACTGTGATGAAGTCTACTCTCCACTGCTGTGTAATCAATTATTGTAAATTTAAATGTTATCAGGAAATGATAAGAGGAGAGAGGATTTTCAGGAAACACTGCTCAATGTTCAGTTTATATGCCATATGTTAAAACAAGATTTAGGGTGTGACTAAAGTGGTGGTTGGATTCTTTGAAATTTTCAGAGAAGCCAATTGAATCTAATAACAGATTAATTGCTGTGTTGAGGCATGGATGTTAAAATCACCCACAATAATTATTTTATCTGAGCTGAGCACTAAATCAGATAAAAAGTCTGAGAAATCAGACAGAAACTCTGTGTAAGGCCCAGGTGGACGATAGATGATCACAAATAAAACTGTTTTTTGAGTTTTCCAGCGGGGGTGGACAAGGCTAACCATCAGGCTTTCAAATGAATTAAAAATCTGTCTCGGTTATTGGTTGATTAATAGGCTGGTTTGGAAAACTGCTGAAGGCCCCCTCGGCCTGTGCTTCGAGGTTTCTGACAGTTAGAATGACTCAGTGGTGTTGATTCACTTAAACTAACATAATCATCCTGCTGCAAACAGGTTTCAGTAAGGCAGAGTAAATCCATTTGTTGATCAATTATTAATGTAATAACAGAGACTTTGAAGAGAGAGACTTAATGTTTAACAATCCACATTTCACTGTTTTACTCGTTGGTGCTGTTGAGGATACTGTATTGTTCTTTCTTTGTCATTTTTTATGTTTAAGGATGGATGCCATCTCTCCTAACAAGATCAGGTTTCCTCCAGAAGGTTTCCCAATTATCTATACAGCCCACATCACTATTTGGACACCATTCAGACAGCCAGCAATTTAAAGAGGACATGCATCTAAACACGTCACTCCTGGCCCGACTGGGGAGGGGACCAGATAAATCTACATAGTCTGACATTGTTTTGGCAAAGTTACACACCGATTCAATATTTATTTTAGTGACTTTTGATTGACGTAACTGTGTCATTACTGCCGACGTGAATTACAATTTTACTGAATTTACGTTTACGATCGTGTGGCGATCGTGGCTCAAGAGTTGGGAGCTCGCCTTGTAATCGGAAGGTTGCCAGTTCGAGCCCCGGCTTGGACAGTCTCGGTCGTTGTGTCCTTGGGCAAGACACTTCACCCGTTGCCTACTAGTGGTGGTCAGAGGGCCCGGTGGCGCCAGTGTCCGGCAGCCTCGCCTCTGTCAGTGCGCCCCAGGGTGGCTGTGGCTACAATGTAGCTTGCCATCACCAGTGTGTGAATGGGTGGATGACTGGATATGTAAAGCGCTTTGGGGTCCTTAGGGACTAGTAAAGCGCTATATAAATACAGGCCATTTACCATTTACCCTTAGCCAGCAGTTTTAAATTTCCCTCAATGTCGCCTGCTCTGGCCCCTGGAAGACAACTGACTTTGGTTGCCGGTGTCTCTAGCATCACACGTCTCAGAACAGAATCGCCAGTTTCCAGGGTTTCATCCGTGACGGGTGTGTTGCCGAGTGAGGAGGAAGCGGTTAGGCACATGAACAGGTTGGTGGTGTACCTAGGGCTTCTTCTTAAGACTATGCTTCCTCTTCACCATCACCAAGCCATCCTGTTTCCCTGGCTGCTTGAGGGAAACAGGATGGCTAGGGGACAGCTAGCGGGGCCTATGATAATTTCGGCTGCACCGGTTACAGTGGCCTGACTAGCTATGGGTTTTTCAAGGGTGCAAAACAGAGTCTCCAATTCAGTGATCCTGGCCACCAGGGCTGCAAATAGGCTACATTTATTACAAGTATCATTTCTGCTAAAGGGGGCTGAAGAGTAACTAAACATCTGACACAATGAGCAGGAAATTGCAGGGAGGACAGGTGAAGATGCCATGCTGATTTGATCAACCGGTCCCTTAATGAAACTGACAACTCCTGGGCTTGGGAGAGCCTGATTGTCCTGCAGAGACGTTTGCTGCCAGATACTCGATGGTCACATGTACACTGACACAGACCTACGCTCACCCCCCACCTCCTCCAAACGCCATCGAAGCTTATGTCTTCTATGTTGTGAGATGTGATGATTCATGTGCTATGTGCTGAGGTGTTTTTTTCTGTTCTCAAACAGATCTCCCTGCTGGAGCTCAGTCTAGGGAGTTCTTTTTTTCTCCTCGTCTTTCCTTATGTTGTGCATTTTCCGTTGCTATACCTCGCTGACCTGTCTTCCCCATATGATGTTTCTGTAATGTATCAGGTCAGAAGGGTAAGATGGTGGTGGCAAAGGTTGGCAGCCTTAACCCAATTTCCTTCAGGGCCAACCTTAAGGATCAATAAAGTTTTATTGAATTGAATTGTAATTTTTAGATGGGGTAAGACAGAAAATCTACACAAAAACACCACTGTGTGTTGGAACAGGAATAGGAGGTGCTACTCTACCACAGAACACCACTGTTTGGAAACAGGTTTGACATTTTCACATTCAGCTGCTCTAAAATAGCGAATGCTAAAAAAAAAAAAAAAAAAAAAAAAAACTTTTGGAAGGATGCTTCTCTGGTTGTTTATGACCCAGTCCCTCTTGAATCCATTCTGGGTCCTGCTCTTTCTCATTCTACTTGCTTCAGAAAGCATGGCTCCCCATCTCATCCCTTTTAATTCACTATGCAGATGACACCCACCTTTTGACTTTAGACCAATCGTTCAAACTCCCAGCAGTCTCTTTGATAGTTTCACGTTCCTTTAAGATCAGTCGGATCATATAACCAGTTGCTCTAGGTTGAAGATTTGAAAGCTTTCAATGGGTTCCTGCTGCTTCAAATCTGCTTTTAAATCAGTGTTTAATACAAATGCTATGACCTGGCTTTAATACAGCTTAAATTGAGACTTGTTTATCACTTTTTCAATAAAAAAAAAAAAAAAACTTGTGTATTTATTAGATATATTAAATTATCATGTTTTTAAGAGGCACTTGTTCAGCACTGGTTGATTTGAAAATAAGCTGCAGAAACCTAAAGTTTCCAGAGCAGGTCAAATGATGTTCAATACCCAATTTTTCTGTCTAAATTTAAAGGTGCACTGTGGAAAAACAAAAAAACAAAAAACAAACAGTAAGAATCTTGTTTTGATTTTTGAGTCCTGCTGAAAATGAAGCCGTCTACAGGGGTGGATGTGGTGGTTGGGTGGATGTTCAGTGAGCTTGACACTACGACCAAGGACTGCTGCGATTCTTCATTCCATGAGCAAACTGATGTTTATTCCTTATTTCTGGTCACTTTTTTTTTTTTAAATTAATCTTTTCAACTTTTACCTCTATTCAATCAGACTCACCTTTTTTTATTACACCTACATCTGTTTTTATGAATGTATGAATCTTCCATTCTGAGTCAGTATTTTTTGTTCTGAACTTTGACCTCAACTCGGTTTTTTTTTTAATTCTGTCTCTCATTACAGTTATTTTTATACTGGTGTTTGTTCAGAAAAAGGACATTTGAGACGCTCTAGCTCAAAGTTTATTCTCTCTCAGCATTTCTTCATTCTGTTAGAATCAGGTTAATTTAAATCAATTTCTGGCTTTGGAGTCATATTTTTCCAAACCAATACTTCATTATACCCCCCACCCCTGCACCTCCACTTGTAGGGTTACATACTGACCAGATGCCACGGCCATCGGGCCAATCGCGGGCCATGCCGGACGCCAGCAGCAGCGGGGACACAGGCTTATCAAACAGGAAGTGGTCATCAATGAGTTGCTGCTGCTCCTCATCGGTCATGTTCTTCAGAGCATAGTACTTCCCCTTCAGGTCTCCTTCCAAGGAGGCCAGAGCTGCAGCCACCACACAGTAGGTCAAAGGTCAGAGGTACACATAAACCCTACTTCAGGATGACAGGTGAGCAAACAGGAAGTGGTGTCAACTGAACTAGATGGAGCTGTTTCACAGAATCACTTTTAATGGGACAGGTATTGACTTTCAAAATAAAAGCAAATTAAAGGTTTAATTGTTTCACTAAAGGTGACCAGGAAGTTTCACCCCCCTTTACATTTCACCCCCTTTTAGATATCAAATCATATGAAGTTTCCTGCCAGCATCTCTCATTAATTACATTTTATTTTTACCCATCATACCTGAACGTTACCTATAAAAAAAAGTCACCTTTACTCTGATGAGTGTCTTGACTTTCTACAGGAAAACAGAGTACCAGTTCCTCACACTTTGATGCAGAGATACCTGAGCAGCCTGAACTGTTTAGGTGGTCAGGAGTCGGCCTGACAGCTGAGGAAATCATACAGAGATCACATGATCATTCTGAGACCCGCATTTCTGTGGGTCTTAGAATGGCTCAGTTAAATGTCTCCTGGTTCCTGAGGTCTTTAAAAGCAAGTGTGGAACTGGCTCAGACAGCAGGGTGCAGCAGAATCTCAGGTCTGCCGGCTTTAACCGGTAGTCGCATTTGAATATGAAAGACAGGCTTTAAATGGCGAGCTGTCGGTCTCATTAGCAGTCTCAGCAGGACAGCTCTCAGCTCAGGGTTATGTAAGAGTTTGATCTGCTGCTGCTTTCACTGACACACTCGATGAGGCATCATGGGAAGTATCTAAATAAAGACTTATCCTCTTCAGCTGCAGACCCAGCTGAATGAAGCCCGACTGACGAGAGTTTGTACCTCACCTACCTCAGCAGGACCACAAGAAACTGCTGCATCAGACGGTCCCTAAATGCACCACCACAGTTTAAACTCAAAGTGAATTTAACAAACAATAAAAACCTGATTTAGAATCCGTTTGTTCTCATTTTACTCTAAAACTGACATCAGCATCAGTGTTCATAGCCTGTACATAGCTTGTACTCACTACAGCCTGTACATCTATAGTTATAGAATATTCACAACATACTTCATACCGTGTACATTATAACATACCATAATAGACCCATTTCTGTAATATACTTACATATCTATATTATTGCTAATATATATTGTAATATATCTATATCACTAAAGCACTTCTGGATGGATGCAAACTGCATTTCGTTGCCTTGTACTTGATTAAGCCATGCAGGTCTAAGTACACGCGGCCGGTACAGTGAAACTGCGAATGTGATGAATTCTTAAAGTTGAATAAAGTTGAATTCTTCATGTGATGAAGTATGCAACTTTATTGTCATTGCACATGACAACAAAGTTGAATTCTATTCTAGTGTGATGGACGCTGCTTTGAAATGCTCAGACAGACGCTCCCTCTCTGAGTCTGACCTTTTTTTTTACGTCCTTCCCAAAGCTGAACAAACAAAACAGGAAGTGTTGAGTTTCAGTCAGATGCTCGAGTCTGTAAATGCTGCATTTTAAATGAGTTAAAGGTCTGTTTCCGTTCGTTCTCCAGCTTTTTCCTCAGGTCAGTTACATAATGGCGCTAAACGCTGCAATACCTCCCAATGAATATGAAGCAGCTTTTTTTTATAAAAACCTCGATCCTGAGCTCAAGTTTGTTGAAACAAAAAAAAAAAAAAAAAATCTATGTGCATATATTTTGTTTGTTTTGTTAAGTTCAGGTTTACACATGTAGTTCCCAATTTTAGATTAGTGTTAATTAAAACTCTTTGTTACTTGGAGCAGATCAGATCTCTAAAAAACACACTACAGTATGCTTCAGCATTTTTCTTTACATGAAGGTTTTAGTGACATTTTGGTTTAAGAAGGAGGGACAAACCTGAATTTTCAGGTCAGAAGGTCAGGCTCTGCTAGGAACATAACTTTGACTGAAGGACATACTTTAGCTTCAATGAGCGAAGAATGTCAGCACTTCTACTGTAGATCACCTACAGTAGAAGTGCTGACAGTGAGGTATAATACAGCAGTCTGCAGGCAGGGGGCAGAGTGATGATGCTACAGTGGGGCAAAAAAGTATTTAGTCAGCCACCGATTGTGCAAGTTCCCCCACTTAAAATGATGACAGAGGTCAGTAATTTGCACCAGAGGTACACTTC